TCAGTCATGCATTTTAAGACAGTCAACTTAACATGACCAGCTCTGTGCACGTGTATACATACACATATGTGCCAGTATACTGTAAATGTACACAAAATTGTGGCTCATAGCCATGAACGGAGAGCATTTATCCAGCTCAGATTCCCTTCACACTAGGTTGTGCAGTTTATACAACTGAACTTTCTTTTGCCTTACTCTCCCTCATCTCCAATGACAATTAACTACCAGCAGGAGAGAAAGTTCATATGAAAAACGCCAATTCTCACACACTGGATAAAAACCAAAGAAACAAATTCTTTTTTGGTTTGTGTGATGATCTCTCAAAGGCACCATTATATATGGCAGTAGGCTTTGTTTTTAAAACAAGGGCTGCTTTTTTATGGATTATTCAATCTCCGAGAAATAAAATACCTTCCAAATAAAACTGTATTCTCTTTGATTTGTACTTTTCTCACTGACAGGTCTCTTTCTGTTGCTAAATCACTTCGATGTGGCAGCGTTCCACCCTCATGACTGACCGTGGCATGCAATGCCCCTGTGACCCGTGCAGCCTGCAAATACAAGACAGCAAGTACTTACGGATACATGGCCATTGTTGTCAACTTAACAAAGATATCCTTACTCGGTACATCAGCAGTATTGCAAGTGAAGGCTTGTGGTGGAGGCATTTTGTGTTTCCTGCAGAAGTCACTGGGTGAAATGCTATATTCTTGTCGAACTTCATGTAGGTCTGACTTTGCAGCTACAATTAAGCAGGGTATTCTACTGTCCATGAAGTGTTGCTATGCAAAGAAAAAAAGGAAAAACCCTTCAAAATCATGGCTCCATGAAAATTCAAGAGCATCAGTCTATGAAAGGTGAACTGTTTCAGTTCTAAATTGGGAAGGCATCATTATTTTCAAAAGGATTAACAGAAAGAATCACAACTCAAAGGCTTGGGTTGTTTAGATCACTCAGACTATAAACAGGATCTGAACAGTCCTTCTTTAATCTAGGAAATGAAACTAATCTATGCTGATGCTCTAGGCTTGCTAAAGATTTGTTAATTCCATATAGGCATGAATTTGATAACAGAACACAACAGATACAAACCTTAAAAATCCTGGCACAATATTCAAAGGACTTGGGATTACTGACATCATACACCAGGCATACAGCATCACATATGATCTCCGCCTCGGTTAAGAATTCAGATTCAGAGATATCATGCAACTTGAAAGGAAAGATAACGATCAATGTAAATACCAGGAAATAGATAATGGCTCATTGTACACTAAAAGTTATGCTTCTACATTAAGAGGCAGCTGGGGGCGCTATAGTGCACAGAGCCCTGGGCCTGGAGTCGGAAAGACCTGAGTTCCAATGTATTCTAAGGCATTCACTAGTTGTGTGACTTCGAGCAAGTCACAGCCTCGATCTGTCTGCTGCATGTTTCTTCATCTGAAAAATGGAGATAATCAAGCATGTACCTTCCTGGGCTGTTGTCAGGATCAAATAAGATAACATTTGTAAAATGCTTTGCAAAACTTGAAGTGGGTTGTGTGTGTGTGTGTGTGTGTGTGTGTGTGTGTGTGTGTGTGTGTGTGTGTGTGTGAATAATCATCACTATCATCTGCTCTTTGGTCTCTGTTTTGAGAAAGATGCACGGACTAAAGTGTCATGTTCACCATTTCCCTGGATGTTTTCAAAAAGAGGAAGGGGGGGTAAGTGTCCATCCTGCACAGAACGGCCGAGCTGATCCCAATCAGGAAGAACGCCTGTGAAGAAGGCTGGCTGTCCTTTCATTTCCACTCTATACAGGCTCCAAAGAAATCACTGGAAGAAGGATGACCCAAGCTGAGCTGTACAAGAGACTTGACCATCCATTACTGCCTTTTCTCTCCTCTCTTCCTTCATGTTAGGCTTCGAAGTTCCTGGAACCACTTCTGTGCATGGGGCGGCATTACTAGCCACGCATGACTCAAGCAATTTGGAAAAAGGTTATCATTTGGAAAATGGTCATCAAACTTCAGTAGGATCTAAACACTACTCTATGCTAATAAGAGAGGGTCACAGGGCAAAGAGGAATCCAAAAAAAAAAAAGAAACATAAATCCTCACTAGGAGGACTACAGATATATTTAAACTCAATGTGGTCATTTTATTAGCAGACTATAAAAAGTTCAACTGTTGATGGCAGACCCTTAGATACCCAGAAGGCCCTTTTGGGCCCTCCTCTTCTTCTGTCACTGAATTCGTCTTACACAAATTTAATTAAATTATTTCTCTAATGGGATTCTAGATTAGGCTTTGATAACTGTACTATTCATTTCTTGTTCACATAGTGATGAAATAATAGCTCTTTCAAAGTAGCAAAGGGGTTGGTTGGTTTGTTTTATCTGGACATGTGAATCACTCTATGAAGGTCTTGGGACAGAAATTCCCTTCCCTGATGCAGATCAGCAGTTCCTCCAAAGTTAGGGGAGCATCACGGGCGGGTGATTACGGAGGCGCTGAGGAGTCAATGACTTGCTCAAATTCACCCAGGGCGTGCACTCATGTCACAAGTAAGGTCTGAGGATCTATTCTGCACAAACGACCAACGAGCATTGATTTAGCCCCTTTTGTGAAAAATGTCTCTTGTCCTGGTCCCCCTGACCACCAATTCCCCTTCTAGGTAGCATTTTAAGTAGTCAGTATAAAGTAAAAAGGGTAGAAAGTAAGAGGGCAAAGGGGGAGCTAGCAGTCACTTACAGAGGGTCCTATAATTGAAGGGGGCATAACAGTTACTTGCAAATTATCTCATAAACTAGAGGAGCAGAGGAGCCACTGGAAACCGTCCCACAGATTAACTAAGGCCACATCCTAAGACTACGTGCCGAGTGAGGGGAAGCCAGCCAGGCCTCACTGCCAGGGCCCTCGGTCCTGCCGCCTGCCCGTGGCATTCTGGACATGTGCAGTTAAGACCAGCAGAACATCAGTAAATATTATGCTAATGAACCAACCCTAAGATGTGGCTAATAACTTTGAGATGATATGGATATCTTAGTGAACTAACCCTAAGGTAGCCACAGTAAAAGTTTGTCCACTCCCTACTACCCAAATGCTATAAAAATGACACCCCAGACTCCTATCCCCTCTACTCCTCCATCTGTTAACTGGTCTGTGCTGCCCAAGTATGCCCCAACCCTGATCGAAGATTACGTAAATGACTCTGTGCCTCTCCCTCTCCTCATCCTCTTGCCACACTACCTGCCTCCCTCTACCACTCCCCCACATCCCTAGGACACTCTCTGCCTTATTAAAGGCCCAGTGTGACTCAAGTATTACTCCCCACTTGCTGCCATTGTGGTCTTTCCTGGTGAACATCCAAGGAAATGGGTGTGCCTGCTCCCACAGGGATCCCTTACAGTCCCACTCCCTTAATCACAATTAAGAATTCCATAAATTAACTGGCAACTCACTCCTGCTTTGTGCCCGGCCTTGCACAAATGGAAATAAATTCAAGTCTTTATGGGCAAAATGGACACAAAATTTCTTACCAACAAGTATTTCTCTTGTCCATATACATAAACAGTATTAATTGCGTAATAAGATTTATGTTCATCACGAATGTGCTTTTGCCTCTGAAAGTGGAAGAGAAATCTTTTATTATTTACAATACGAAATCATGCCACTAAATTTCCACTAATAAAGTACAGTTTTACAAATAAAAGAGCTTTTCTTTTCTGCACTATTTGCCACTTAGCAAATATGAAAACTGTGTTGGTTTATATTGTTTAGTTATCAGCATCTAAGGGGCAAAAGACTTTTTTCTACGCATGCTGATGGCTCAAAATGTTCTACATAAATAAAGCAATAGTTGAAAATGAGGCAAAATCAATTACTGAAAATGCCAATTCCAGAGCCACCTTCTAGAAGCTGAAAGGCCACAGTCTTGGGAGTCCTTTCATTATAAAACATTTAGAAGATGAAAGATTCAGTGGGGGTGGGCACATTTCCAGCTGCTCACCACAGGTGGGACCTTAGGATAAGAAACCAGGAAGACAAATGCTGGGAACGATTAGGGCAGGGACAAAACTTGGTTCAGTACTTTTCAAATGGTTCAACTCTAGAAGGACTACTAATGCTTTACACTATATTTTGCTCCTGATACACATGTCACTGAGTTTTATTAAATCCCCATCTACCAAATACAACAGTTTGAAAGGGATCTACAAAGACACAAGCATACATCATTTTGTTAAACTTCTGAAAGCTGAAAACTCACCATTAAGTTTCTTCCAAGTAGAGCCTGAAGAACTCCACTCTTGCCACAACCTTTCATCCCAATAACGTTACATCTAAACACATTTCTTTGAGTCTGCTTCTTTTGAAGATCTATCTTTTTATCTCTTGTTACTAAACAAACAAATAAAAACACACATGAGGGACCATTTTTCAGCCTCTATTTTGCCTTAGGGAAAACAGGAAGTTGTGTGGTCACTCATCTGCTTTAAGGGACAATCTGCACTTAAAATAAAGGCCTTATAAAAACAATACCTTATAAGACAAAGAATAAGCAAACCCCACAGACCCGAATAAGAATCAAAGAAAACAACTTTAATCCTCTTCTGCCCTCTGTATTACAAAGAAATTATCATAAAATAGGAAAAAATAGTAGAGCTAAGGTGTGGGAAGAACAATGAAGACCAATTTATTTTAATTCCTTAGTATTTATAAATTAGACATAATAAAAAAAAATTCATATAATCACCCGTGATGGCAGAAGCTTGAGACTCCTGTTCAGTCAATATTGAGTAGCCTAGATAGCCCAAATACTCCAGGCACCGCTGTACATCTAAATAGGTTGTAAGCCTAATGAAAGAGAAGATTAAAGAAATAGTGAAGAGCTTCAAAAGGAACATCTGTAGACACAGAACTCTAACAGCTCAAGAATGGAATCATCCCTTCCAGACACAGAAGGGTCACATGCTTTCTCTTTCTGCTGAAGCTCTTCTCGGAACTACCTTGGTGCTGGGAGCACTGGCCTGGAGGCAGGAAACCCCAATATCTCAAAGACCCCAGCTCCACCACTTCCTAGGTAGGACCTGATTTGGGGCATTTCACACAACTTCTTTGTGTCTTACGGATAATCAATTCTGATATTGTTGTGAAAACCAAAATGCTCAGCATAAGTGTTTTTTTTTTCCAGCTGTATAGCACCACAGCATATGTAAGCTACTGTTGGGAGTTAATGTTATTCTTATTCAACTCCTTGATAAGGAAACTTCTTTGTTAACGGTGATCAGCCCTTGTCTGAGAGGGTAAGTGACTTTTCTAGGATCATATTGATATGTCAGAGGAAAGACTTGAACCCAGGTCATCCTGGCTTAAAGGCTAGCTCTCTGACCATTATACATACAAAGGGTTCTTCACCATTTTTTGCGAGTCATGGATCCTTTACCAGAATGGTGAAGCCTACGGCCCCCTTCTCAGAAGAACGGTTTGTTGCCTACGTTCATAACTGAAGGAAATGCTAAATTTCAATTAGAGGATAGTGACACTACAGGGGTCATTTTAAGCCCAGGTTAAGAACCGATACACCATGCCATGTAGCCTCACTTCCAAACAGTCTTGTAAAAAGGTGTTTTCTAGTTTGGAAAAGAGAATAAAGTAAATAGCTGTCCAATGAGCTCTTGCTGAAAATAAAATAACCCCAATAAGAAAAAGCAGGCCAAGTGGAGCACAGCTATCAGAGTAATTAGATTTGAAGCTGGAAAAGACCTTAGAGCTAAGCCAGCCCCTCTAGCCCAAACCCCTAACTTTGCAGGTGAAGAAGCTGAAGAGCCAAGAGGCTAAACGACCTGTCAGGTCAGAGAACCAGTAAGTGCCTGAGGCAGGCTCTACAGCCAGGCCCTCCTGACGCCAAGCCAATATCTCTCCACCCTCATGTCTCTCTATGTGGCAGAGAGAGCCTTCATGAAGTAGCCACAAAGCCTAATTTCTTTCTCCGTGGAAAACATCATCCAGGGAACGTGTCTGTCAAGTCACACATGTATTTCCCATAGACACGGGGCAGCCGAACATTCGATCACGATCATTAGCCACTCAGTGGGGTGGAGAGTGGGGCAGCTAGGTGCTGCAGTGGATGGAGTGCTGAGCCTGGAGTCAGGAAGACTCATCTTCCTGAACTCAAATCTGGCCTTAGATACTCACTAGCAGTACGGCCCTGGGTAAGTCACTTAACTTCTGCTTCCCTAAATTCACTGGAGAAGGAAATGGCGAACCACTCCAGCATCTCTGCCAAGAAAACCCCAAAAGAGCTCACAAAGAATCATAACTGAAAAATGACTAAACTGGGGTGGAGAGGAAGGAGCTCAGGATTTAAGGGTCAGAAGACCTGGGTCTGAGTGCATGGTTTATTACCACCTGTATAATTTTGGGCAAGCCTCAGTTTATCTATTCTTCCTTTTTTTTGGGGGGGGGCAGGTGGGGGGTTGAGACCTGTAATTTCACTGATGCAAGCCCCTTCCTCACAGGAAGCTCCCTATGCCAATGAACAGCAGCATCTGTTGCTTGGGAGCAACCAGAAGTTACAGACAAGTATGTGTCAGAGGCAGGCCTTGAAGCCAGGCCTTTCTCCTGACTCTGAGACTGGCTCTTTATCTAGCTATCCTTTTACTCATCTGTAGAATAAGAAAAAACTGGCTAGTTTCTCTTAAGGTTGTGGTAGAAGATCACAGACTTAGAAACGGAAGGGACCCCAGAGGCCAATGAGTCTAGCCTCCCTCTCATTTCACAGATGAGCAAACTGATCAAACTGTGACAATTCTGCTTTATGAGCAGAGGGTGCTGCCACTAAAGAACCAAGCAACAGCAATGCATCAGCACATAAGTTCACCAAATACCCCAAGACAAGCCTGCAGAAACTTCAGTGCAGGAGAGCGCGACTTGCTTGTATTAGAAGAATAAAGTCTCTAGAACATCGGAGAATGCAAGACCAGGGGCCTCCGAGCGTCCCAGGGATAACAACACATCTACCAAAGTAACAAGAGGGCATGTACTTATTTTCTTTCAATAATGGAAGGCACACACAGAGTGAGAAGAGATCGGGTTTTCAAAGCCCACCTCAGACACCCTGGGCAAGTCAGTCAACCTCTGAGGTTGAGTTTCTTCATCTGTAAAACGGCGGTGCCAAATCTTACATTACCTGCCTCATAGAGATGTTATGAGGATCAGATAAGACGATGTTTATAAAGTGTTCTGTAACCTCTCAGTGCTAAATACATACCAACAATTACTACTACTACACCTAAAACAGAATCTCCCCTTATGGACAACATATGAAAAATCCATAAAAGGCACTGGAGTTTCTGCTTTCAAATGACACTCGCCTCAGTTTAACATGGAGATCCAAAGCTACCGCACAGCTCAGTTTATAAATTCTTCTGAAGGAACATTTCTCCATAAAAACAGCATCATTTTCATCCCTGCATCACTCACTCCCGTTCACGTCCCTCAAACTGGCCATGCGGTTAATTCTCCGCACCCCCCTGCACAGGGTGGCTCCAGACCCTCCGGACTCTCCCTTCTCACCTGGGACTATTAGAACCCCAGGCTTCCTCCAGCTTAGCTCCAGTGTCACCTCCTCCCGGAGGTCTTACCTGATCCCTCCCGGGGGCCAGTGCTGACCCTTGAAATGACCTTTCATTTACTTTGTGGACATCATATGTACACATCATCTCCCTCAAGAGTTGGGACTGTTTCATTTTTGTCTCTTTATCCCCAAAGCCTAGCACAACACTTGGCACACAGTAAGCACTCAAAGGTAGACTGAATTATCCTCTAGAGCTGATTAGGTTTAGCTGATCTGATTAAATTACCCTAGGATCACAGATTTAGGGCTGGGAGACAGCTGAGAGGTAACTATCAGTTCATTACCTGGCCCAGCATCAGTTACTAACCCAGTCAACAATAAACCCTCTGCGCCCCCTAGTGGTCTCAATGTTGAAGTGAAGTGAATCTTACCTGTCTTGATAGTTAAAAACCTGGTATGTACAAAGAAAGCTTGAGGCAACTGGTGACTTGGTGCATAGAGCACCAGGCCTTGAGTCAGGAAGAGTGGAGTTCAAAATCTAGCCTCAGACACTTGCTAGCTGTGTGCCCTGGGCAAGTCACTTAACTTTTTTTTTTTTTGGCTAGGCAATGGGGTTAAGTGACTTGCTCAGGGTCTCACAGCTAGTAAGTGTTGGGTGTCTGAGGCCGGATTTGAACTCAGGTCCTCCTGAATCCAGGGCCAGTGCTCTATCCCCTGCACTACCTAGCTGCCCCTCACTTAATTTCTGATTGCCTGACAGAAGGATCCATTGAGGAAGGAAATCACAAACCACTCCAGTATCCTTGCCAAACTCGAGTAAACAAAAACAAAAACGTATAAAGAAAGCTCACACATATCTTCTCTTGACCAAAAGCATTACAGTTCTGACCAGATATATCTTCAATCTAGATTTTAAATGTGTTTATATGCAAATTTTTTATTTTTTCATGAAAACATTTTAAATAATATTTTAACGTTCCTGACAGTTGTCAGTCCCAAGTTAGAAAGATTTATGTATAACACATAACATCTAAAGATCCACCTTCATGTAGAAGAGGGAAAAGCATTTAACAAATTCTCCTTATCTTCCTACTCTTATGACCAGTTGTGTCTTTGCTCGATCTAGTTTCACGGCATAAAAAAAAAATCTGAAACTCTCACACCCTTGAGAACAGAAATATAAACCAAGGCAGAAGAATTATTGAAACCCTTCTGTCTGGTGGGCACTGCAGGCAGTACACAACACTTACACAAGGGAGGATGTATTAGCAAGACGGTGAATTCCATATATCACCAACGCAATGCTCTTGTACTGCAGAAGAACTACAAAACGTTCCACGATATTAATCCTATAAAAACATCACTTGAAACTACATGTCATTCTATAATCAAGACAAGTGAATCTTATATACTCACGTCCACTGTGAAAGAAATCCCTGATAGGTGATCCATCCTCTTTCATTTGTACAAACTGTGTTGTTTACATCAGGCCCCCAAGGCATATAAGGGAAGACTTTGAATAAATCTTTAAGCTCATCAGGTGATAAAGCACAGTCTCTATCCTGAAAATACATAAAAATGAAGGTAGTGGTTCTCTAAGAGATTAATTCTCCAAGATAAGAGCTTCCTACTTCTATATCCAAAGTCAAATTAATGAATCTAAATTTTACATGTACTTGAGAAAATCTAAAAAAAAAATCTATTAGTTATTTTCTAATGTAACTCTAAGCTGAAAAAGTATTTTGCATTTTTATAAAAGTTCAGAAAATAATGAACAGGAAAATCATTTCAATTGTTCAACGTGAAGAGTTTAATCAGTTTCTGGTCTTATGTGAATTTACTAATCACAGTTAAAAAAATCAATGAAAGCCAATCATATAGCTAGATTTACCATAAAACATCAAAATCAGAGTTAAAAGCTTACCAAATCATGCTTGTCAAAAATGCTTTGGAGAAATAAATATGCATGATGATTTAATTCAGTGGTGCAGTCAGGAGGTATTTTTAGTCTATAGACCAAAAAGAAAAAATCAAATAAAAACTGGGTATCTAGATGTAAATTTTAGCCAAGAAATGAATATAAAAGTATTAGAAGTAATTTTATGTAAAGTATCTTGTTTTTTTTTTCTTTTTAGGCAAATGGGGTTAAGTGACTTGCACAGGGTCACACAGCTAGTAAATGTCAAGTGTTTGGTCTGAGGCTGGATTTGAACTCAGGTCCTCCTGACTTCAGAGCCAGTGCTCTATCCACTGTGCCACCTAGCTGCCTCTTAAGTTTTTTTTAGCAAGTGTACTTCTCAAAATAAATTCTCCCTGTGGTAGTGAACATCCTTAGGATCAATGATAATGATATTCATAAGCAAAAGGGAAAGTGGCATGTAAATATTTCATAAGTAAATGGCAGATCCTCTAAGGAGAATTTATAGAAAAAGAGGGATGAGAATCACACAGGATGAAAACATGGAGATCTGCATTGGTGAAAGGAGCACCCACTTTGACGAAACCCCAGACACAGAATAGAGACGCTTGCCTGCCAGTAATGATGAAAACTCCTTCTCTAAAGTACTGTGCACTCACTGCACTTAACTATTTCTAATGTACATAAAGTCACAAGATATAAATGGAGGGTTTCCATATATTAATTCTGGTACGGAACAATGATGTGGATGTAAAATCTATCACTTCTAGGGAGTATGGTTGCCAGACTGGCAAGGCTTACTCCCAGAAAAACTGTGGGGGATAGAAATATGAACAATGCCTCTGGGGGACAGGATGCTCTTTTAGAGAAAGAGAGCATAAACTATATGGAAATAGGGAGAAGGGAGGACAATTAATGCAGGTTAGTCAGTTGCAAAGGCCTACAAGAGTATCCTAACAGACTAGTCTACCAGATCAGTCAAGAAAGACCTGAAAGTGGGAAGCATATTCTACAATACTTTGTCCAAATGAAAATGGGCCTAGAGATGAAAAATATGTGAATGATTCCTTGATGGAATCCAGGGAAGCCAATGGGTTGGGTTTCTAGTGACTCAGAAAGAACTCTGCTTCCTCAGTGCATCATGGAATCTAAGAAAATCTTTGACATTAAACTGGAAACATTAATATCAGAAAGTCACACAAGGAAAGACAGAGAGGCCCCAGATCTACTGTCTGGGAATGAGACACATGATGATCGTGTTAACCTCTGTCAAACTAAGTAATGAATGCCGGCGTGTAATAATCTATTTCTTAACCTTTCTTGTGTCATTGAACCCCCTCTGGCAGTCTGGTAAAGGCTATATAGGTCCCTATGCAGAGTCATATTTTGCAGAATTTTTTTTTCCACAACTGAAGGAAATGCTAAATTTTAGTTAGAGGTTAGTGCAAATAAAGATGTCATTTTTTTCCCATCCACATTTTTACTTCCTTTCTACGTACAATTTTCTACACACAACCTAGTTTTTGTCCTCTCAAATGATTGAATGCATATGTGTTTAAATGAAGAGGGCCTTGCTTAGAGGGGACTTGATTGCAGGCGTAAAAGAAGAAAATGGTGGCTCCAAGGGAAAAATGTGAAAGCAGTTTTTACTACTTCACCAGCCTGAGGGCTAGTGATGGAAAAAAGTTACCATTTGGATAGAAAGGCTCAGGAAGCTTCTGTATGGTATGTGGTCAGCATCGGGCCCATTTCTGTCCCAGAAGTTTTCTAAACAGCTGATCCTTTCAGTAAGAATGTACACAGTATCTATACTACCTTAAACATTTAATATGCTTTATATTAGCCTTGAAGGGAGTGACTTTGTGTACATTAGAAAACAGTTAGGGGTCTGCAGCCAATAATCATTAATTTTATCTTACTAGCTGAAGAATCTTTCATACACTGCATTATTTATAAATCAAATATGTGTCCAACAACTGAAAAAATGGCTGCACAACTGATGGTATACAAATGTAATGGGATATTACTGAGACATAAGGAACGATGACTATGAAGAAATCAGAAAACAATGGAAAGCTTACATGCAGCAATAGAGAGTGAAGAAAGCGGGGCTGAGAGGAGAAAAACAATCCAAAACACAACTAGAAATAAAGTCAACACTGAGAATCACTAAAACTTGTCAAATACAAGTAAACATTGGAATCATACTATCAAAATTAAATGATATATCCCACATTTTGGGTAGCAACTGATAAACTGTTTTTTCAGGGAATACATTTTGTGCATATGTGGTAGGGTGGTAGGTTTGTCAGGGAGTGTTTCTTACATAGAAACAAACCATATATCAACAAAATGTCCTTTTAAAACTTGAGAATCTTGCTGATGACAATTAGGCACATAGACATATCCTACTGTATGTCACTAACTGGTTCTGCAAAAACATGACATCAGGAAAATCTACATCACAGAAGACAGTAACATAGAAACAAAGATATCAATGAGCAAGTTGCCAAATGATATTACTGAAGGATTTTTATGACTTTTCCAATGGGCTTTGTTATAATATTTGTGTGTACCTATGTAATACATGCCTGATGTTATGGAATATTAACTGGGAAAATGTTGAGTGGACTGCGTATCTCTACCTAGGTGAGCTTTCCCCTTGCAGATGGTGGGAACCTCCACATGAAGGGCCTGAGAATCCTGACCAGGAGAATTCCCACAAGAGGAAGCTGTTCCTCATCATCGTGATCTACCTTCTTGTGTTTTTAGAGCTCTAGCCTGAGAAGGGAAACAGCCTGGATCCCTTTCTGCAGCGGTAACCTGAGAAGAAGAGGAGGGAAAAGTAAAACTCTTCTTTGGGAAAGTGAGGAAGCTTAGTGGCTAAGACTCATACTAGTATGCTATATATAACTTAGGGAGGTACACAAGAAAAGAACACTTATCAACTCCTATTTCTAATCTTACCCAAGACAAATTTGTTCACCATATTCAAAAGAATTCCATTACTCAGGTAGCCATATCTGAACAAATAAGTATAATCTCCTCAAAAACTTATAATGCACAGGGAAAATAATGTTCTGTGCACACCACATCCCTCCCCATCCCTTGCAAAAAAAATTCCATATTCAGATCATTAGGGAGATCTGTGATCTCACCGACATAGCTACTCCCTCTATTGGTATACATCAAAATCCACTTGTACCAGGGGCAGCTAGGTGGTGCAGTGAATAGAGTACCAGCCCTGGAATCAGGAGGACCTGAGTTCAACTCCAGTCTCAGACCAGACATTTGACACTTACTAGTTGTGTGACCCTGGGCAAGTCACTTAAACCCCCCCCCAAAAAAAAATCCACTTGTACCTTGCTCTGTGTGATTTTCATTTAGCATATTTCCATAAATCCTCTACAGAAAATCCATCCTCTAGTTCTTTTATCATCTCCTTCAGAACATCAATGTAGTACTCAGACTCCCTACCTACTGGCTCTCTTTCCTGATCAGTGACTTCATTCCTCCACCCTCACTCCTAGCCCACCCTTGCCTTCCTGCCCACTTCCTTCCTCCTATGGTCATCTGCACGTCTTTGAGGATGTTTTTATGCCACTGTGTTAGCCCTGGCAATCCACGAAGAACAAGAAATTTAAGCCAAGTGTTTAGCTGCAGAGTTTGTTAGCAGATAGAAAATGAAACAATTTCATGATGGGCTCTGCAGGTAACAGTTGACAATTATGCTTAAAGGAAGTTTTTAAAAAAATCTTTGAAGAATGAATGAAAGCAGAAATCCAGAGATACATACAAAGGGAATAAATATTCAGGTGTAAGCTCCAGATCATCATCGTAACCAAATCTACGAAGCACTGTCCAAGTAGTTTCATGTCTCCCTCTCTGGATAAAAAGTGTATGTAGAAAAAGGAAGCCTGAAAGAAAGCAAATTGGTATGTAAACCTTCTGGGTAAAAGGTTTCCAAATGTCATTATATGCCATTGTTACTAAATGATTAACTAACTGTGGTGCTGTGCTATCTAGTGAAACAAGACTGGTTCAAAATGGCAGCCAACTTTGCCCGAGAAGTCCCTCATTTAAGACTCTTAGATAGATGAGACAGATGCAGCCAAACGGAAAGCTGGATAAAAAAAGAGCTAATCACCCAACAGCCATACCTATGACCAATAATACTTTTTAAAAACAAATTATTTTCCAAACTGTACTTGTAGTCCAAATACAGTTCAGGCTAGAGTTTTAAAAGACAGCTGATTTTAGAATGTTCTTCATGCATATACTCTATTCTAAAAGGGAAAACAACGGATGAAAAGACCCAAAACTGCATCAGAGAGGACAAATCTAAACTGAATTCCAGAATCCATGACATTCACAAAAGTGATAGGAAAGGGGGAAAAATGGTTTCATGCATCTTCTTCTCTCATCTTCCTAAAATGGAAAATTCTGGGTTTCACTTTTAGGTGCCTCATTTCTACTGCATCTCTCTAATGTACGCTGCTCTGAAATACAGGGAACATTCTGTACTTGGTAAGTATGACTGGCCGACACAAAGTCTTCACTAAAAATAATCTCCATTTACAGGATGCTTCTGAAGGAAGCTCCTGGAACACTGGTCTTCCTCTGGTCTTTCTCAGGGGGACCCGAGAAGCCCTGAGAAGCTGTGCCACAATCAGACAACTACCTGAGACAACATACGAACACTGGGGGTGGGTGTGACATGTAAATATCTGCACCAAAGGGGACTGCCCCCAACAGATTTTGTCCTGCTTCTGCCAAGAGGCTAGCTGTTATCAGATGTCCTAATCTTTTCTATTGTTGCCTGAAGACCTCTAATCCTTCCCACCAAGACACCACTCCCTACACCCACCCAACAGGCTTGCCTCTGTAGGAACTCTGGCTGCCAGAAACAGATTTCAAATGTTTTAATAAATACTGATATCTCTATGAGTGACAAAAGGAACGCTACAGGGACCTTTTGCTTCTATCAAATTTAGCAAATATTAAACTCAAGAGAAAAAAAAAAACAACACCCACCCACCTTTTAGGGTCAGTCCACTGTCAGCCACTCCATCACTTAGATTTTTCCTGACTACGTTCTTAACATCTTCCAGTGCTTGAGGAGCTAATGGAGTGTTAAAACAAATTCTCTAACAAACAACATAAAATAATGAGAAGCAATCAGCATGAAATCAGACAATAACCATACAATATTAATCTACGAAGCACTCTAAAATCAACACAGAAATGTTACAATCAGAGCAAGCAAACTAAAAAATTAGGGTGGCCCAGTGACCCAGAGGAGCCAGGGATTTTCAGTGACCCAGGACTGTATCATTTAGGCGCCCGCTCACACCAGCACCAGCTCAGGAAGGCAAATATTCCAAGCCACAACAGGCACAAAGGCACCACACGTCTCAAAGAGAAATGATGGGAGAGAGGAGGGTGAAGGAAACCAAACAGAAAAGGGTCCCTGGCCAACATCTCACGAATACAGCACCCGAGAGGAAAGAAACTCCACCTCCTGCGCCACTACAGCCTTCTGCAAACGCAAGGCTCTTTGTGTGGCTCTGTGTGCGAACCCTGAAGAATCATTCAGAGCCCTATGTTTCGTCCCACCTCAATCCCCTCACTGTACACAAGGTCATGACACTTGTCCTCCAAGTGAGGCTTCAGTAAACGGCACCCCGTGGGGGAAGGCTGAGACAGCTCTGTGTTAGAGAAGCCTCTCTCCCAAGGAGCAGAAACTTACACCTGTGGTGTATATCAGTGCAATCAAATGCCAGGAAGTGTTTAATTTACCAAAGAAGAGACAGAGCCCTCTGAGAACTAAGCATACAGGCCGCTCTCTACCTGAAAGAAGTTGAGCTCAGCATCATTGAGTGTGCCATCGTTGTCCTGGTCGGATATCTTGAAGATCCGTGTCAGAGCTTTTATACAAGCTGGCTTCATCTACAAAGGAAAACAGAAAAATGAAGGTTGTTTTTTATCTGTCAGTTTATGATGGAGGTTTCCCAATTGATTTTCTTTTCTTTTTTTAAAAAATATTTCTTTAATATTTAATTTTTTCCTCAATTACACGTAAAAGCAACTTTTAAAATTTATTTTTAAAAATTTTGAGTTCCAAATTCTCTCCTTCCCTCTCTTCCCCTTTTATTGCAAAGGTAAGCCCTTTGATATAGGTATACATGGAGAGTCATGTAAAACATATTTCTATATTAGTCATCCAAATGATTTTCTTGACTACATGGGTATTCTCCCTGCCATTTCAGATATTCACTTATTTTTCATATTATTACCCTATCAAAGTAAAACATAACACCAAATGAAACCGAGTGACAAGTTAATACCCATTAGACATTGAGATGCCACGGATCCTTTTTGTCTGAGTCAACATTTGGAAGAGGAGTCTCTTTATTTTTCCCTTCTGGCCCCCAGTTTTTAAACTACCCAGGATTCAAGGGCATGAAAGGGAAGATCTCTGGCTTCTCTGGGGAATATGAATTCTCTAGACTTCTCACACATTATTTGGGGGCTTTCTTCAACAGGCTTATGAAAAGTCTGACTGTTAGACCTACAGACCAAAGAAAAAGGTTTTATGTAATCATCAGTTCTGATAATAAAAATTCAGTTCTAATGATAAGGCCTGTAGGAAAAAATATGCCTGCTCAAAAGTTGTTGGTAAAACCTTGTTGCTCAAGTGTGAACCACTTCCACGGTCATTGTTAGCTATGCTGAGGTAAGAACTGATTGTTTTTCATGATTCTGTAACATTCTCTAAAAGCTTTAAAAGGCATTTCTGTAATTTTTGTGTGGGTGAATCTGGAACAGTGAAAAGGGTGAAAAAACGAAGGAGAAGAAGAAAAAAAGGTAAGTGTGCCAAACCTGAAGTCAGTGGACCAGAATGCAAATCCTGTCTCTGCTATTTACTGCCTATTTGACTTTGAGCAACTCATTCATCTTGGCATAATTCCTGGCATACGGATAAGACCTAATAAATGCTTGTTGACTGGTTCTCTAGGCCTCAGTTTCTTCATCTGTAAAATAAGGAGGTTGAACTAGATGATCTCAAAGGTCCCTTTCAGGTCTAAATTTGTTGACACTGAAAAGACACAGAAGAGCTAGTATCATTTTGGGATAGAAAGAGAGCTGATGGTGGAATCAATAAGATCTGGGTTCATGTTCTGCCACTCACATTTTTTTTTTGGCCACTCACATTTTTAACTAGCTTTCTGATCAGGAAGAACATCATAAGATTAAGTCACAGAAAAATTGCCATGTGCTTTAGTGGAAGGAGTTTCCATTCAGGAACTCCTAGGCCAATGAAATCACATGACCAGCAGCCTTAAAGAAACATCTACAGATTTCTCTTTTATTTATATCTATATCTATATCTATATCTATATAGATATATAGACATACAACTATATCTATATATATAGATATACATCTATATCTATATAAGTATAGATATAGTTATATATCTAATTATATAGATATACATCTATATCTATATAAGTATAGATATAGTTATATATCTAATTCAATTTAGATTCAAGAATAAAATGAATGCATATATATATATGTGTGTATATATATATGTATATATATACATATATATATATACACACACACACACACACACATATATATATATATATATATATATATATATATATATATATGTAACAAAGAACTTTGAGAAACATTTTTTAGGGAGCAGAGAGAGGGGAAGGAAGAGCATGATGAAAGGTGACCTATTTGGACTCTGGATATAGGATGAGCAAAGTGAAAGAAAGGAGTCAGATGGCAGCCTTGGGGGGTGCCTCTGCTAAGGCGGCTATCCTCAGAAGGAATGTGGGGGAGTTGAGGATGTTTCTAATGGATCACTTGAGCAGAGTTCTGATGATGCTACCCTATTAGGTAACTGAAATAAAAAAGAGCCTCCAGAAAGAGGTGAGAAAGAATTCTAAACACAGGCTGCCTCTTAAAAAAAAATAGTGGTGTCCAGAGGAAAGTTCAATGAATTAGGAAAGGGGATTTGAGAATAAGAAAAGAAAGGAAAAAACAACAAGAAAAGACTCTTGTGACAGAATCTACAACAATTTCCTTTTGTGAGTGGGCATTTGGGCACAATAAAACAAGCACAATCTGTTAAAACAGTGCTTCAGGAATATATGAGACAGGTAAGAAATAATAAGACACTGGCTCTATCAAAGTAATCTTCACATTCAGAAACAACATGAAGACAAGCATAAGACGGTCTGTCTCTTTGTTCCTTTACAGTCTACATGACAGCATAAGTCTATGTTCAAAGTCTTCAAGAGTGCTCCTGGTGTTTCTCAAAAATATCAGTTGCTATGATAAGACACAGCTGTGCCTAAAATCAGTCTTTCATTCTGTGCATGTGGTGTCTTCCCCCAGTAGTAAAAAGCTATTAAAAGATATTGCCAAATATGGAAAAAATAATCAATTACACATTTCTCAGTAAAAGTTAAAAAAAATCAGTGACTGCTCCCAACCCATTAACTGAATGTGATATGTAAATACTAGCTCCCCTTTTTAATATACTATAATTGAACCTTCTAAAGATATTGACTTGAAGCCATTTTAGGAATATAGGATTTAGAGAAATAGAGAAACTGAGCTCATAGTCCAAATCATTCATCTGAGAAGGAAGAAACTGTGGTCTCGGAGACATTGTATCAGGCCAAATGACCACCCTCAGTGTAGCAGAGATAGGACACGAGTTTGTGTCCTTTGACTCCAAATCCAGCTGTCTTTCCAGGACACAATGACTAATCACCTAAATTAGTCAGATTTTCACTAACTTGAACATTTCTCTCTAGCAAAAAAGTTCACGTTTTAAATGATAAAAAGGGTTCCATTTGTTACATTGTGCCTAGAAATGTTCATAGATCTGAATTTTTAATTACGAATATAGCCTTTTGGATGACTGTGTTGAAAGAACTTTTAATCTCCTTTTTAAAAACCTTAAGTTCTGTCTAAAATATCCAGTAAATGTTTGGACTTTTAAATGGAAGATTTGTAAAAAAAAAAAAAAGCAGTCTCTAAATATTTCAGGTTGTTGGAGAGTTAGCTACATAACAGGATGGTTAGGTTATATCTTGCTAGACGTTCCCACAAATAGCAAAGGCTTTATTTACTACCTTTTTTTACATGAGAGGAAGCTACTTAAGAGGGCACAGAGAAGAGTCACTAAGAGACAGTGATGGAATACAGAAAAAAGGATCAATAAAACCTAAAATCAATTTTAAGAATAATTAAAAAGAGAGCAAACAGTTGGCAAATAAAAGGTCAAAGTAGCTATTTCACATCACTATTAATGGAGAAAGAAATCAAAAAGGACTATCTGTACTATCTCTTCTTTGGTAATCTTTCTTTTCAAAGAAAAAGGACTGGCAAAGCAACTAGAAAGGCACACTGAGGCCAGCCAAAGAAGTAGATCAGTATGGTGCACAAGGCAGAGAAGAGCTGCTGCTGCTCATCCTTCATGTGAAGAGGACCAATGACACCATGGGGTGACGTCTTGACTCATACATGAACTGGACTGAAGTAGGCAGCATTACACGGTCATCAGCTTCACTCTCTCTTCCAGAGTCTTTGAAGTCCAGTGGCTGGACAAAAGTCGAGGCAACTGGCATGGCCCGGGATGCAGTGGCTGACCTTGGCATCTCTGACGTCTGACCAAGCTCTCGGTCTCCACAGCATTTGCTCCAGCCGCCTTCAAGGGCGTTGAAACAAACTGTTCTTATCTGCCCACTGCCCTGGGGAAGTCTTCACACGCTTGGGGTAGACAGCCCTTTAACTCACTGACAGGTTTGAGGCCTGTTGGTTACCCTCAACCTGGTCTAGCCCATCTGCCAAGACCCTTAATCAGGGTGTAGCCTCTTTGCATGCTACAGCTTCTTAGAGTCAAGCAACAGGTGGACAAGCAGCCCCTCACACCAGTTCTCCTAAAAACCCCATATACCCCAAGGCAGGGAAAATTAAGGAGTCACCAGAAGGGCCAGTACAAAAGCTTAAGCCACATTCAATATTTTTACTATAGTTCTTGGTAATACTGATTAATACTAGGTTGCTTAAGAGTATTATTTTTCATTTTAGATGAAAAACAAAAAAAGAAAATGAACATAAAAGTCCTTCTAAGTGATCTACACCTAAAGCTTTCTGGCCTGATCACTAGCGTATATATGCCCGGCAACCAAACACCTCCAAACACTCAGTGGATGGACAAGAACTCAAACCGCAGGTGTGGTTCTTCTGAGGATCTAACACTTCTTGAGGGTGAAACTAAAAACTGGATCTTGGAAATAAGTAAATGTGACATAGGGCCCTTAAACAGCACACAGGTCTCAGCAGCATGATCAAATCTATATTCAACCCAAGAAACCACGCAAACGGCATTTAAAAATCACTTGTGTTTTTAGTTATCAACTATAAGAGAGCATCTAATTCTATTATGTTTTAAACAAGTCAAATCCTACTCAAAATGGACAAAGTCAATTAGTTTACAGTCTGGAAATGCTGTTTCATCAAAATAAGACCACCAACTAAGACCGGTATTTCATTTGTTGTATGATATTTTTATTCTATAGGTACTTACGCAAAACATACTTGAATTAAAATAGTTTAAGTACTTACACTATCTAAGCAGAAAAGTTTCTGGAAACTTCAGCCATTAAATAAAAATTTAACAGCATTTCAGAACTTTAACTTTTAAATTCCAGAGAAAACTTCTTAAAGACCACAGTAAAAATTACCACTTGTACTTTCTCCCCGCTTCCACAAAAAGATACAGGAAAATTAAAGTACCTCTTTTTCTTCTGGACAGTATAGGGGCCCTGTAGGATGTAGAACAGCTTTCTGTGCGTAATAGAAGAGCTCTGATATGTTCTTCAAGTTTTTCGCTGAACACTGAAAGACAGTTTAAATATTTACACTTCAATAAATATGATTAACAAATTAAACCCCATTCAGTATGTGGTAACAGAAAGCAGAGTTTCCTTGGAGAAAACAGTTTATTTTGTAAATATTCAAAGACAAAAATCAGAAAGGTGAAACAGAGCTCAGAACCCAGTGGCAAGGCCCTCACTCTTCCCAAATGACTTTGTTGCCAATCTTTATGTCCAGCCCCACGAAACAGTGGGCACTACTGAGACCCTGCTGACCAGTAGGGCAGCACACATGCATGCACACCTACCTACCTCCACACAGGTCTCTATTTCTGTGTACTGGTTCATGATGGGAAGAATGGTTTCCATACTGCTATATTCCACTAGATCTGATTTGTTCCCAACCAATATCAAAGGCAGCCTAGAACATATAAGACATAGTTAGAGGTAGTAAAGAACTTGTTCCCTTTTAATTCACTTCACAATCTATTCTAGCTGGAAAAGATTTCCCCCTAGCTAGGACCTTCCCCTTCAGTCCAGTCAGTATGACATTCTATCTACCTCCTCCACCCAATACCCTTCCCACTGGTTCCCACCTCTGATGTTCTCTTTAGTTACAACAGACCATTCTCACTGCTCACTGCCTGCGCACATTTTCCCCATCCTTCAAGCTGTCCAGTCCTTGCCTCCCTGCGTGGAAGTCTTGCCTGACAAAATATGGAAGGGAACAGGTCAAAACTGGGGAGGAGTGGGGCCTATGACCTCAGCTAAAGCAGGGAAATAGGTACCCTGTTACTGGGCTCACAGTTTGCAAGCACCATAATTCTAGAAAAGTGGAGCCCAGAGTCTAAGGAATCATAATACCAGTAAGGGGAGCACTAGCAAGCAGGAGTGGTTAACCTCAGAAACCAGAGCAAAGGTTGCAACCTGCCTTATTTTATACTGGCTACTGGCTATGCTGGCCCCAAGCCCACAGATCTTAACTATAGCCAGAAAGAGGCCATGCAACTATTTAGCAAACTCAGCCTCTAATACAAGGCCAGAAGGTCCAATATCACCAAGATGTTCTCATATTATTTTACCTCCCAACAGGGGTATCTTGACCCTTGTCTTTATTCTGTAATAGATTTTTTACTCATATATTTTGTTGTTACATTACCTAATACGCCATATATATTTTCCCCTTCCCATAACCAGAGAGCCATCCTTTATAACAAATCATTTTAAAAAAAGAAAAGTAAAAAAATGGAGAAATAAATTCAGCGAAACTGATCAACACTTTGAAAACAATCTGACATTCATATGCAATGTTCCACACCCTGGACCCCCTCATCTCTGCAAAGAAGTGGGGTAAGTAGTGTCTTCTATTGCTCTTCTTTGGGGTCAAGTTTGCTCTTAAGAATTTCTCAGCATTATCTTTCGACCCTTTTGTGGTGACTCTTTCCATTTACATGTTGTAGTCATTGTGTATATTCTTCCCTTTCCTTAAAGCCTCAGCTTAGGTATGCTAGAAAGCTGGACTTTTCTCAGGTGCCAAATCTACATCTCCATATAAAAGATGTGGAGCTGATTCCCCATCTGCTCTGATTTGTAGAGTGGTTATTCTACTTGACCTGATGTCATCACTGGAAGAGAAACAGCAGGTCAGCCTGGCTTTGGGAAGCAGGCCATTGTATGGAGCTAAAAAACTAGAGATTACAAGAGTTTTGGCAACAGAAGGCAGTTGCTGCTGGAAAAGCTCTCTCTTCTTCCTGCCAATCCTGCTACAACAGAAGGGCATGGTTTTGACACACACACAGGAAGGTACTTGTAATATGTGAAGGAAGTCAGTGTTTTGGGAAATCTCGGTCTACACTTGTGAAGATCTTCTGGGACTGCTAAGGGCCTGACTCTGGTAAATAAGGTTTCCAGGGACCATGTCTTTGCCTGTATTCCTTACAGAAAAATGGTCTCCAGAGGTTTCCTCTAATCAGTCTGTCTGTTCAGTGCCGCTTTAGAAGCAGTCAGTATAGGACAGAAGGGTGCTAATGTCCACCAAGAGGAAGTCACCAACGTAAAAAATGTCTACATGCTTGCCTGGGAGATGGCAGAGGATGAGATGGATAGATAGTGTTATGGAAGCTACATACATACACCTGGACAGACTTTGGGAGGCAGTGCATGATAGAGGGGCCTGGTATGCTATGGTTCATGGGGTCACAAAGTCAGACATGACTGAACAACAACAGCTTGGCTGTCTTGTACCTGTGTGAGGGACAATCATACCCTAGGGCAGGAATTATAGCACAGGACACAAGTTCTCGACATTTAGCCAAGGAAATCTTGAAGACTTAGCCTGGCTATTTAGCCAGGTAATTGTTCAGGTAGGGTTTGAGGAGGAAGACAGAACACTGAAGGAATTTTGAGTGTATGAAGCAACAAGCCTGAAGGCATCATGGAAAATCTTTTTAACGGTAAAAAAGGTTTTCTGGTAGTTAAATTTTAGAGAGGGGCAATCAGTCCAGAAGTGCTCAAACATCTGGAAAACCTCGTCCACCCCTCCCTGCAAAGGAGTAATCCTGCGTGGTGGTGACCATCTTCTTGGCCTCTCAGTCTACCAAGGATTATGCACAGGTGTCCATCTCAAATGAGGATAAAAACCATAACTGCGGTAGAAGGAACTGTTCTAGATCAAAGCAGAAAGCCGGACTTGGAGCCACGAAGACCTGGGTTCAAATGTGACCTCAAACACTTACTAGTTATGTGATCCATAAGTCCTTTAATCTCTCCGGGCATCAGTTTTTTCAACTGTAAAAAGAGGGAGCTGGACTCAACCTCCAAGATCCCTCCCAGCTACAAATCTATAATCCTGATACTATCACCTCCTGAGAAATTGCCTGGACATTTGATTCACACTTTCAGTTCTAGCATTAGCCAACAGATGACAGTGAGTAGCTAAATAAAACCTATGAAAGCCTAACAGAGCCAAGAGAGTGTTTCAAAAAAGAGATGAACTGTAATCCCTAAAGAGGGTCTCACAAAGTCTGCTGAAAAAGAAACATCATCTAATTGGAGTTGTAACTCCTGTTGAGGCTGTGGTACGGGGTAGGAATGAAGTGCTCCATGCTGATTAATAACCTGACCACCAACAGAATAAGTCTGCCTACATGACGGGGGAAGATCAATGACAAATTTCAGAGACAGGTTCTTCCAAAGCCTCCAGGGAGATTGCCAATGGTTATAGCAATCTCTAAGAGTACTTGTTATTAATCAATCAACAAGTGTTTCTATGCCAGGCAGGATGTCAAAGGATATTACAGGATGGAGGGCCAAGTGATCTGGCACAAAACCTTCAAGATCTTCCATGAACCCAAATTCCCAGTTGTGACACTATCATGGTAGACCTAAATGGTTTAGAGTTTAAGGGACATGAGGGAAACAGACATCCTTTCTTTGATGTAAATGGTAACCCCTGGAAAAGTTAGAAGTTGACCTGTTCCATCCCTGAAGACCCATCAGCAATAAAACAGAAGACAGACCCTGTTTTAAGGTTTGTACAAAAAGGTAAACACCAAAAGAATAAGATGCCAGGACGGGTATGGGTGTTGGGTCCTTAGGGATGGTCCTCCCTGCTCTGAGATATGGCGTTCACCTTGTCATTTTGAATGCTTGACTGGCAGGTCACCATAAAATTAAATCAAGCAAAAACACAAGCCTACCTGACCAGGTAGGGTTTGCAGTGTATCACAGCACAGAGGTATTCCAGGTTTCAAATGGTCCACGACAGGTATTATGTGCCTAACAGAAGAGGCACAGCATGGTGTAACGGAAAGAACAAGGAACTTGGAATCCTAAGACCTGGGTACAAATTCTGGTTCTAGTACCATCTGAATGACTATATCTCTCTGAACTTCAGCTTTTTAATTGTAAAACGGGAATAAAAATACTGGTACCATTTGCATCACAAGGTCATTTGCTTAACAGAAGTACTGTATAAATCTTAAAATGTTATGTAAATGTAAATTTAAGACTATGATTCCTATTAACAGGTGCCTCAAATCTTCAAGGGCACTCCTAATAATAGCACTAACAATTGCTGATATTTATACAACACTTTAAGGTTCCTATCTCATGGCAGTTCCTTCTCCATGGCAGTCAACTGGTATAAGTGGTCAAAGGAGAGAACCCCTGGGAAGGATGTGTTTTACGTTAGGAATAGTGCTGAGGGCTGGACTGGAGGCATGTACCTCCAAGACAACTGAGTGTGATGGTTAGAGTGAATCAAGAGAGAAGTGAATGCCACCTGGAGTTGGATGAAGACAGTCCAAATGGCTGCAGTCTACTAAAAATAGACAACTTTCTTCAATAAATAAGGACACTTCAATTATGGGGAAAATTGCTCATAAAGCACCAGCAAGAGTTGTCAAAGCAACCTGCATAATTTCATTTTTGTTCTGCCCAATTTCTACCTCCAATACTACCTAGCATACTCCCAAGCACATTGTTAACAATGCTTTAAAAAGAT